TGTCGACTTTATGGGCTACAAAATGTATTATTTTATTTTATCTTCTACTCAAATCTTTTGGAAAGTAAAAAAATATTACAAATTGAAAGATACCACATGCTTGAAAATGTAAAATGTTTATTTTCCAATCTTAACAAAAAGTTTTTTTCTTCTTTTGTCTACAAGTTCGGAAATAATAATGATAAAGCTAATAAGGCTAGAAGAGTAGGTATAGATAACATCCAATTAACGGATAATTTAGAAATAGAATACGTTATTACAAGATGGAGTAAAAGATCGCACTTTACGACAGTGTAAATCTTTTTTTTCAAATAAACTATTCAGAAGAAATTCATGTTACGACTTTGTAACCGCGAATTGCTCCTTCAGCATTGATTTTATGCACAATTTTAAGAGATATCTTTCAAAACATTTTTGTTCTTCTCAATAGCTCTTAAAAAAAGAAGTTAAGAATATAATTTAAAACATACAAGATTTCAGTCTTGCGTGCAATATATTTTAGTTTGAGCTATACCCAACTTTTTAAGCAATATAATAAAATCTATTATTAAAGTGCCCTAATGGGTGAGCAAAGTCACATTAATTACTTTAATTAGCTTCTAATTGCAATTTGCCATTACTGGTGAGAACTTTACCTTTCTTAATTACTTAATTGTGTTATTGGAAAAACATACTTTTATAAACTGTTTTTTTAAAAGTTTTTTTAATTGTTTTTCTAGTAAAACGCTAAATACGTCTTAAACATTTTTTTCCCATAACTTTTTTGACTTTCAACAAATACAATGATTTTAGTAAAAAGAGATTTTAATTAATCTCTTTTAAAAACTATCCATAAGTAACTGTAGTAACGATTACAGTATACATGAGTAACTGTAGTAAAGATTACAGTATACAGGAGTAGCTGTAGTAAAGATTACCTTGTGTTTTAACAGCAGTATCTCCTGTAAAATTAAGAATATCTCGCCAGATTTTAAAAAATCTAAAATAAAACAAAAATAAGAGAAGAGACGAAAAAAATGAAATGTGAATACTAGTTTTAGATTGAAAAACTTAAATTTCTAAAAATATTTTTTAAAAGGATAAAGAGTGCCTATTTGTGTGATTCGATGATGGAGAAATATTTTTTTTCTATTTTAAAATTAACACATTTTACATTCAATCTATTCACACTAGGGACAATTGGTTCAAGGACAAGGATAACATTATAGGCCAGGTTTAAAGGGTATCGTTGTAATTCGGACATGCCACTCTTAAAATATAAATTCACTCTAAATTACGTATACAGTCCCTTTAAGCATAAATAAAATCAAAGAGATACCTTAGCATAGAGTAGAGCCAAATTAGAAGAATAAAAAAGATAACAAACCCCTCTGTAATCCGAACATTTCAATATTGGAATATTAAAATCAATTCTAAATAAAAATGGCGTGAACTCAAAATATCAGCAATTTTTTTTCTTCAAAGATTACTTTTTCTATTCTGAGAATACTTGTTATTCTATTTACAGTTGAATCTACTAATTTTTTTTTGTATTTTAAACTTTAATCCGATGTGAACCATGTTTAAAATTGTTGTACTCCATTAATTGCAAACTAGACAGAAAAGAGACAAATTTTGCTACACTTCGTGTACGACTTTGTGACCGTTTACCTCCTTTTGTTTTGATTGTACATACAAGAATGAAAAAGTAAGTATATCCGATTACATATAAGAAATTCAAACATGTAATTCTAATGATTGAAAACATACAAGATTTCAATAGAACTTGAAATTTACTTTAGTTTGACGCAAATATAATTCTAGTACAATAGATGGCAACTCTCAGTACAGCTGTATTCTGACGTCACAAGTGTCAACTCAGGTTTTGTGTTTGACAAAATTATTAATAGTATTGATAATTTTAGAATAAAGTGCTTATCTTACAGTAAAATAAGTTTCATTTTATGTGTTCTTAAGTTTCTCTTTTAACATTATTTTATTTAATTTTGAAAAACATGTCAACCAATGTCAGAAAATTTAATTTTCCTTGTTATATTTTACGCGTGTGACGTCGTGTATAATTGATTCATTTCTCTGTTGCCACCTATAATTGTACTTGATAATCTAATATAATCTCATCTCAATAAATGATATAATATTTAATGTTTCCTTTGCTGAGAATGACCTCAGGAATAGTTCTTAGAACTCGTTTCTCTATTAAAGAAAACAAAAAAAATAAAATAATAAAATTTAAAAATTTTAGGACTAAATACATTACAAACTTTTACAATTCCAGTTATTTAGATTAATAAAGATTAAGTCTATATTAACAAAAATTTAAATGTTAAAAGAAATTTTAAATGGATGTTAATTGAATAAATAAATATCTTTTTATAAATAAAATTTATTTAATTAAAAAAAGAAGAAAAATGTGATATTTTTAACAGTTTTTTAATTAAACATTTCTTAGGATGGATTATTTTAACTTTATTTAGCTCAAACTTAATGCAGATTCATTCCAGATTTCCGACAGTAATACAGTGAGAACCAGAAAACTCTGGATTGGGAAGACGACTTTTAGACTCAAGTTATGACTTCTAATAGTCCAATTGAACATAAGGCACAACAATTGAGCAGTGTAAACAGACCCATTTCACTTCATAAGTCATTTAATAACTTGCTAGTATAACTATTGCTTTGTAACAACATAAAATGCACTTCAGAAATATTTCAATGTCGACTTTATATTCTAGTTTTCTGTTTATCACTGCAATATTTTAGATTTTCATGAAGCAACAAATTTATAATTAGCAGAGATTACTCAGAAAACGGTGCATTTATTGAGAAATCATATTCTAAATCAGATATCAAACTAGGTTCGGTGGAATTTGCTAAATTTATAATTTCCCACTATATATTTGAGAATTTAGTTTATTTTCTTTAAGTGAGTGTACGTGTAAATTCAAGTTACCCTCCTTGCAAAGATGGCAAAGCCCGATTCGCAACGGTATCCTGAAATGCTTGTTTGGTCAAGTATAAATTAAATATCTGTATTTATAATTTTGAAAACTAATTATTTTCTCTGCCATGCTTGACTTGTAATTTTTACTGTTGAAAAACAAAGAGGGACTAGATCAAAATTAAATACTTTTAACCTAGAAAAACGACAATATCTTTCACATTATTGATAATTTCAGGTTTTTAAGGGTACAAACCTTTAAATCAGGGTGTTGATATCTTGTGATAGGGTCACTTCAATTTACGCTAGATGCAGTCCTTTTAATGAACGTGGTGCAGCACATACAAAATATTTAAAGATGAATTCTTAAAGGATTGAACAGCTCATGCAGATTTAACAGTACGGTCCTTTTCCCAGCAGGCTGTAACTTTCTCAATTTGACCAAAATAAAATGAAAATTTATTCTTCTTTCTACTTTTTTTTGTCGGTGAATGCTGTTTAAATAATAAAGCATAAATAGAAAAATGAACCAGTTTACAGATTGCTGGACTATGGATCAAAACCACGGTGAACTATGGTCAATTTGAATTTGAACCGGACCAACCCCTTGTACCGGCCTTTAGGCGCGCAGCAAGTACCGACCCGACCTTATTTTATGCCGGTTCAGTTTAAACTTTGATGGCGCGGTCAGACTTTTTACAGTAAACCCGGCCTATCATAGGCCTACTTGACCACTACCCCCACTAGCGAAACGCGATTGAATTCAAATCTATTGAACGCTTCTCGCCCTGGTAGGTAAGCTTCCCCCGCTCCCTTGCGCCACAAACTTTCCAGGTGGAAGAGGAAGGAACATTTCTACAGTTTTTTAAGAGTGGAAGGCCTCTAAAATTAAAACATGTTTTCTTTTCCTGAAATCCAATCAGTAGACACAGATTCAACACGAAGGCTTCCATTTTCTCTAAAATATTTTTAGTTTTCTAACTTTTTAAATTTTATTATTGATTACAGTTGTTAACATAAAACTGTGGAGTGTTTACCATTCTTTCTTTTATATTTTGCGAATATTGCGAATATTGCGAATATTGCGCGGAATTTGATAACTAATATATTAATATGAAAATGATGAATAAAATGAATGAAAATTAAATAACAAAAAGAAAGAAGACAACAATTATTCCAATGGTTTTTAGTTCCCACCGATACAGAAAAATACAATTCTACATTTTTTATTTATTTTACAAAAGATACAAAATAAAGCGATTTAGGATGAAATAAATTCAAAAACCTTCAAAAATTGAGATTGCGGGAATATTTTCCAAAAATTTTAGATTCATTTTACATTTTACATCAATTGCGGTTAAGGATTACGTTGTATTTTTTGACAATAAACTCACAACTTATTGAAATGTGAAAAGTTTTGATTGAAAAGCTTTTGTTAGGTTTAAGAAAAAAAGGGTTTAAGCAAAAGTTGCATTTTCAATTTTTTATGTGTGCTCATTTGTCATGCTAAATTATAGCTTAAATGTTCAGATAGATAGATACAGTCATCAGTCATTAAACTATTTGATTTGCAGGAATTCGAAATTGGTTATATATTGAAATTTGGTAATTTAATTCATTTCTGCAAAATTTTGTTCTAATAAAAAAATGAGACAGCATAAATTGAAATTTAATTTGGTCAAATTTTGTGGTTTCAAAATCAGACCATTTTCTCACCTGAAAACTGTTATTTGTAAAATCAGGCTAGAATTAGACCCTTCCTCCACCTGAGTCATATTTAGTCCACTAAATGAACTCTTCAAAATTAAGTTTTTAATTTATTCTTGCAGCTTGTTTTTAGCATGAAATGGAAGTAATTTCAAGGGACCCCTATCACTGTTGGGGTACTTGAAAACCAGGATACTCTGGGGTGGGGGGGTCAATTTGACCCCCCCCTCTCTAAATCCAATGTTTGATGTCCAAATATGACAAATGATACATCATTGGAAAGCCTTTATACTCTTTTTTAAGAATCTGGAAACAAATTTGCAAATTTGTAAAATTTTTTTTGCAAAATCCAGTTATATAGTGAAAAAGCTTGCAAAAAATGTCTAAAAAATGATAAAATATACATTTTTGAAAAGGCCTTAACCATACCATTTTAAATATGCAAAAAATTTTGCAAAATTTTAAATAACCTGATGTGTAATTGAGAAAAACTAAAAATGTGCAAAAATTTCTCTGCAAAACTTGTGCAATACGTTTCCTTGTGTCATAGGCTTTCCAAAAAGCTAAAAGTTATCAAAATTTGACAACTGAAAATGGGTCAAAACAAAGGTGTGCCTGAGGATTCAGGCATTTAGCATAAAAGCCCGGTTTTAGATCGAGAGCTACATGGGTATTTAGGAAAAGTCACAAAATTTCAACAGCCTCAGACCAACTTTTTAAGTTATGTAAAAAAAAAACTACAGTGGGGGTCAACTTGCCCCTCCCCCCCTAGCAGGAATAGGGTTAATGCCCGTCTCACAACGGTATCCTGAGCAACAATGAGGAAGATATAATTGTCTTTCTTTCTTAAAAGGGACAAGGGTGTTTATATTTTTTCACAATTTAAAATTTTCAGTTTTGATAGATCAAGGCTGAAAGGGTACCGTAGTAAATCGGATATTCCAGTCTAAAGTGCAAGGTAACTTGCACATTGTCTTTTAATGGCTTAATTTGTTATTTGTTAATATTTTACAGTTTTAGGGAATTGCATGAATATAAGCAAACATGTAAACGGTACAAATTACGGTCAGTCGTCTCTAAAGAGTCCTTCTTTGTGGGTAACCCTGTATATATATAAATAACAAAAGTGGAAAAAACGAAAAAAAGAATTGTAAAAGTTTTCCTAATTACTAACTCTATATCATCCTCATTTGCAAAAATCATCATTTTGTCTGAAAAAATATAATTTTTTTAACAAAAAAAGTGAAATAATAATTTACTTTCTTTATTGTATAGTTCCAAGTATTCTGTTTCTTGAATCCTGAGTCTTTACAAAAAAACAGGGTGTCCCACAAAACATGACAGTTGCAAGACCACTTTGAAATAATTGACGGCATTTAATCGTAAACCAAATTTTAGAAGTAAAATTGTAGAGTCAATATTCACAAAATACCCCTAGTCTTGGCATTTACAAAATGTGGTCTGCTTTTTTGTGCTCTGAATATTACAGGTGATATGATTTTTTTTTTAGATTGCAACAATTTTGGTTTTATTTGATAAAATCAAAATCTGAACGAAATTCTCAATATCTCCGTTAATATTGACCGGACAAAAAAGGCAGACCACATTTTGGAAATCTCAGGACTAGGATAATTTTGTGGTTATACATGTCTCAAATAAATTCAAAGATTAAGACATTAATTTCATCATATCTAAATCGTTTTGCTACTGTCATTTTTTGTGGGACAACTTGTTTATGCTTAATATGTAAATTATATATATCACACACCTAATGTACGCAATAGCAAATACTAAAAATCTTCATTTATAGTAAGTAAAACTGAGTTCCAACGGCAAAGACAACAATTTTTAAGAAGAATATCATATATTCCGTGACGTGTTAAGTATCCTGTATCTTCTTACCCACTTTCCGGTATCCTTTACTCTGTATCCTGTATCCTGTATCCTGTATCCTGTATCCTGTATCATATATTCTATGATATATCAATTATTTAATATCCTTGATAGATCTCTGATATTTCCACTTTACTATGTGTGTTTATTACATATACATACATACACCCCATTAGAACTGATTAAATTTTCATAACTCATAAACACTAACAGGAGGACATCAAAAATACAAAGTTGTCAAAATTCTCCAAGATTCGGGTTTTTTCTGAAGTTGAGTTAATAATCCCGCCATCAACTTTAACTGTTTCCCTGAAAAGAAAATGAAGAGTTTAAAGTTGACATACGTTTGTTTTTATAGTTCAGTTTTGTTTTTGTGTCAGCCATGTCGAATTTTTTATTTAAAGTTTAATTTGGTATTTGTTGGTGCTATTTATCTCTATATACTTAAGATATATTTTCTGAAATGGAGGTAAAATGGAAGGGGGGGGACAATTATAACCCAGGCTACTTAGAGCAAAGCACTGCTTTTTATGTCCGTAACTTCCCAGTGCTAGCTAACAACTGAAAATAAATATTTAATTTTATTTTCATTTAAATTGATTTATTTTTGAGAAATAAAAAAAATTGTGAAAATCCGAAAACAATTTCTACTCTATAGCTAGCACTATACAGTATACAGTAGACAGTTTAGTTAACATTGTAGCTTCATTGATAAAATTTACCATGATAAAGTACTCTGCAGAGGGAAGGAAACGTTTTATGATGATTTTATGTTCACCCCTCTTTAAAATTTTCGATTTTTTGATTATTCCAAGCACTTAAATATTATTTGACATTTTAGAATAATATTTGAAAATATCAATCTCATAAACTGCGTTCTTTTAACGCTATTCCGGCTGCGGGGGGGGGGGTCCCCGGGACCCCCCCTCCTAACTTATTTTAGACATAACTGAAAAAGTCCTGAGACATACAGCCTTATTTACAGTCTTATTTACAGTCTTATTTTACCTATACCAGACTAAATCTATATTTAGACCTACTTCCAGTCATTGGACTTCGACATTTTATAGCTTTTTAGAAAACCTTCAACAAAATGAAGTAAATTGCACAACTTTTACGAAGAAATTTTTCATAGATTTTTGCACAGACGCCTTTAAAGGGAATTTGCACATTTTCAGTTTTCCTTGAATATGCATTCAGTTTTTCAAAATTTTGCAAATGTTTTTGCATATTTCAATTTGCTGGGTCAAGGGCTTTTTAAAATTTTCATTTTTTGCTAAATGACTGAATTTTGCAATAAATGTTTGAAAAATTAAATTTGTAAATTTTTTGTTGTTGCAAATTATCAAAGTATCACAATGAGGACTATTTTGAGTAAAGGAGACGTCAGCCTGAATAGGGTTGAATATTTAAACGGAATTACTTAATCTCATACGCAAGTAAAGTACCGGGCATGATATAGTCAAGAGTTAAAAAAGTTTTGAAAAACTACATACATGGCTTCCTTCATCCTTCCCAGCATCCCGAGGTACCAGCAAACCTTTTTCAGGGTACGCTTTTTTTAAACTTATCGCATTTGAAAGGGATTTTCATTGTAACTTCAAGCGACCTTCATTATAATGGAAGAATTCTCGATTCACAATGGTACCTTTTACATCAATTTATCCGATGTATATTTGGAAGATATCGTCATAGTTCCAGCTTGAAAACTGTCTGAATTGGACGATTTTCTTCTGATTGTTTCTGAAGCAAGCCATTTTTATCAACAAACCACAATTGAAAATAAAATTAAATATAATTTGTAAGAGGGTTTAGGGGTACTGTTGTTAATCGTATATGGCCCTCTATAAATGAAGTTTCAAAAATAAAAAGTTGAATAATTCTGCAGATTTGACATCACCTCCAATCTTGACAAAAAGAAATTTACTTTGAGCATAACTGTTTTCTTTCAAAAACAGGTAAACATATTTGAATTAAAAAATGAATATATTTGTATAAATATTCATTAAAATTCAATAAAAAATGGATGTAAAGGGAATGTTAACTTAATTCAATTTAAGAATGCATCATTAAATATTTATAATATTCCCCTTTAAACATTTATCGGACAAAAAAAGAGTTTTTGTCGGAAATTGCTAAAATTACATCTTTTTTATTATTTTCTTCGTTTTTTTCAGCGACTTCTAAATTATAAAAAAGTTAAACATTGTAACCAAATCCACGAAAAATTACTTATAAATGTAAATCGGCGGAAAAGTTGAAATGAAGTTGAAGAAGCTATATTTTAAAATTTTCCCATTACATATTCATGTAAATTAAAGATACGCAAAGAGAAACTATTTCGGTGTGACGTTAAAAAGCGTCCTGTCCCGGGGATGAGATATTGTTCGAGAAGAGGACATGAAGGCATGTAGTTAAATGTAGCAATACCAAAAGAAATTTGAAAACGTCTCGAATGTCGTCTGTCTTTTGAAAAATTAAAAAACATGGATTATTTAACTTCTATTCATTGCACATTATTTAATAATTAGTCTTTAAATACATACAAATCTATTTGAATATTTTAAAATTTAATGTTTAAGGCCGAAAGCAGTAGCCCAGGCATTTTCTCACGACCGTACATTTTTTAAGGGAACACTGGAAATATACTTTGCTCCCCTGTACTTTATCCTTAATCCAGAGTAGAGTAGCTAATTCTCTTGATGCAAGTGGAGGAATAGATCAAACAATTCAAACATTCATTAGACTCTACAGGAGGGGAGCTTAAAGAATATATACACATAGAGAATGCAACCATAGATAATTTACTGTAGATATCAAGTTTAAGCGAATTGTGAATTAGCACTATCTATTTGAATTGTAAATTAGCACTATCTATTTGAATTGTGAATTAGCACTATCTATTTGAATTGTAAATTAGCACTATCTATTTGAATTGTGAATTAGCACTATCTATTTGAATTGTNGGTTAATACCAAGGTAGTAATGCAAGGAAAGTTAATTGCAGTTGCGTATACTCTGCGTACATATTGAAACCAGTTCTCTCTGGGCGGAATTTGTAAACAAGAATAGATGCATCATGTTCGTTTAGTATCCGAGGAGGTTATAGCATTAAATTTTGATAATTTTGATAATTCACATAATAGTTTCCTATAATGACTAGAATATTTCATTGATTTTTTATGTGAAAGATGGATCCCATGTCAGGCTTTGACATCCGTCTTGTGTTTACATTACCGCACAGAGTCAGTACACTGCAGTACAAAAGACGAGTAAACCTCTGAAATAACTTTCATTGCATTATAACCTTGATATACACTTTGTACCAATGAGTATCTCTGAAAGAAAGGAAGTGGTTGAATCGTCAAGAGAGAAATGGAACGACCTAGGCGCTGAAATCAAAAGTTTTAATCTCAGGGTTAAAAAGTTTTACAAAAGAATGAGATTAGATTCTGTTGGTATTGCATAAATGTTTTTGTTGTTTGAATATAAGAATATTTGAAGCTCTATGTTCTTTCTAAAAAACAATAAACTTTCGAGACCCGAATGTTTTGAGTGAAATTTCAAAAAAAATGAACTTTTTTTGAAATAGGTTTTAAAGGAAAATATGTTAAAAGAAATTGGTAAACGAAATCTAAATAAGTTGAGCAATATCGCTCAACTACCTATACTGCCGGTTTAAATTTGATCCATGGATTCAAAGTTAAAGATTAAGGAAGGTTTTGAATTGGTTTATTCAAATTTCAACAGGCGGTTCAAATTATTTTTTTTTTGAGTTTTTATAAAAAGTATTATTATTGAGAAGAAAAACTTCGGATCAAAGAAAAGAAAATATCCATTTGAAGAATCATTTCAGAAAATAACAAATTTCTTTTTGAAAAAAATGAATAAAATTAGATTTTTAAAAAATTGAACGAATTTTGAACTAAGATCGGAGCTTTTGTGTTGATAATGTTAATATTGAATGCTTCATCTCGATATAAAATGTGTGCCCTTTTGGGGATCAATGTTTAATCCTCCCAGGGTATGACCATCACGAGATATTGAAGATTAAGTTTATCTTTAAGATCTGCATAAGACGGAGACAACGAGATTCACAACAAAAAATTCTGACTTTCGCTTTAAATTACTATCTTTAAAATTCAAAATTTTCTAATTTTGATTTTTTAGAAAAGTATTTTCATTTTATTTTTTCGGATAACCTGCATCTCATTTTAAAGGTTCTTCTGTCCGATTCACAAGGGTATAAATAATCTTTAACAAAACAAACAATGAAAATGTTCAAAATACTTAAGGTTGATCATTTAAACCCTTTAAATTGTAAATTTCTTGGCGATATTTTGTAATAACATGCATGTTTTAAGGGTGGGCCGATTTTAACTTGTAATTGTTGCTCTTTTTTAAATTTTGAGAAATCGAATTTTTACAAAACTTTTCCTCGGGATTATGTGAGATCCCAAAATAATTTGGGCCCAATCGGTTCAGTCACATTTTGACGTTTATCGGTTTAAAAACAAACAAACAGACAGACATGCAAAGTATATTAATAGCATTTGACAAAGCAATCATTCAATGGATTTCTGATTAGTTGAATTGGATGTTTTATCCAGATTAAACAATATCATGTTATTTTATCACGAAAAAGAAGAAAAATATTTACATAACCTGATATAGAAATATTTTGCTATTTTTCTCCGTCGTCAGTTTATTTTAGATTATATTTGTAAGTGCTTTTAAATTTCTCGGAAATGATTCCGCCTCCGCAAAACTATATTCTCTTAAATCCCGGGTTTTATTTCGGAAAGGGTTGCGGCATTGTCCGAAATTTTGGTTCCCATTTATTGTTATTGTCATAAAACTATGAAAAAGAACGACGACCTGTAAATTAAAGACATGATCTTATATTGTTCAAGTCCACTGAGCGAGAATGAATATAGTAATTGAGCATTGGCAACGGACCCATTTCATGTTACCAGGGAAACATCAAATGCACTTTATGTATGTTTTTATGTCGTCTTAAGGTGATAACTGTTCACATATTTATGACTCTTTTTTCTCTGTTGAAAAGAAGCAACAAATTCAAGTTTCTTTATATTCGTCAATAGTTCCTTATTTTATTTTCTAACCAGTCAATTTTAATCCCTCTGGAAAAACTATTTTAAAACATTTCGTATTTTGCACTTTAAACAATTTCAATAAATGTTAATAAATATCCTTATTGATTTCTTTATTTTACTAAGCTGACTATGAAGTCAACAATTGTGAAGTCCTTAGTCCATATATTTCTATCAAATCTTTCATCAAATAAAATTCTCTACGTGACAAAATTTCAGGTTCTAAAGTAAATAATTAGTGAGTAATTTTTTATTTGCAAAATACAGGGTGTCCCAATAAACATGGGAGTTGAGAGGCGACTTGAAAGTCGTTTTAGATCTCTGATATTTAATGAAAGTAGAAAAGCGANAATTATAAACATTCCTCTCTCTCTTCCCTCTCTCTTTTCTCTCTCTCTTTTCTCTCTTCTCTCTCTTCTCTCTTCTCTCTTCTCTCTTCTCTTTTCTCTCTTCTTGATGTTCTTGTTCTAGTTCTAATGCTTTCTATTGTTTTGTTCTTGTTTTATAGTGATTTTCTTTTTCTTGTTCTTGTTCCTTTTTTTGTTCTTTTTTTGTTTTTGTTTTTGTTTTTGTTTTTTATATTGATATTGTTCTTGTTCTTGTTCTTGTTCTTGTTTATGTTCTTGTCAATGTTCTTGTTCTTGTTCTTGAATTATAGTACCAGCACAAGTGACACGTTTTGTGTTTAATATTGTTCTTGTCCTTTTTTTTTGTTCTTGCTCTTTTTTTCCTGATGCTTTAGTTCTTTTTCTTGTTCTTGTTACTGTTCATGTTCCTGTCCTTGTTTTTTGGTTGTTCTTTCTCTTGTTGTTCTTGATATTATAGTTCTTGTTCTTGTTCTTACTCTTGTACTTACTTTGTTGTTTTTGTTTTTGTTCTTATTTTTGGCCATGTTCATGTTCTTGTTCTTCACGTATTGTTAGAATTAGCATATTTCTGAATAATTAGGCTGAGAATGATTTAGGAAGTGAAAGTGACTGATAAGCAGTTCCAACTAATTATGTCAGTTGCCATTTTAATTTGAACTATTTCGTAGTATTTGTTTCTTTTTAATAATAACACGGCAGAGGGGATGGGGTTAGGATTTAGTGCCCCCCCCTTCTGCATTGTAAACCGTATTGATATTTGCCCTCTAGCACCAATAGATCTGAAAATCTGAGCAGAGTTAAAAAATCGGCTAATTTTCCAGATGACTTTGCAGTTACAATGAAAACAAGCTGTATAACAAAGGTGATCTAATACTTATCCTTTGATAGATATATTGTCGAAGTCAAACCTTATAGAAATCCAACGTACGTATAAAAACAGCTACGTATAGCAACAAGGCGTATTTTCCGGGAGAACATTTTTTATATTTTTGAGAAATTAAACGTTTTTGTAAAACATTGTAGCTTATCATTATCATTATCATAATTTCTATTTTTTTAACATACCCCAGACATTAAAGGAGCAACATAGTTTAATATCTACATTTGTACTGCTATATTATGTGTTTATTGTGTTTAAGGTCCCCCAGATTTTATTATGTACTGGCAGCATAAATGAATGATTATATGGTTATACATAAAATTGCGTGTTACTATTAAAAGAATATATCATAAAAATGCTATCTACAGTTTTATTTTTAGAAAAAAAATGTCAAGTTCTCCAGTAATGCTAATATAATTTCATAAAATTCCGTTTTACCATTTAAATAAAATTTAATAAAATAAAAAATATAAAAAATGTTCTCCTGGAAATTGAGCCTAGCTTTTCCTATAAACAAAACTCTCTCTAAAAAAGTCAACTCAACTTATATTTTTTAAACTTCGCGTGGCTCACTGAGTTGGCCCATCAAAATTATTAAATCAGTCAAGGGGTTCAAGTGATATGATCGGACTTACAAACATCCTTACAGAGATTACTACTTGGTACATGTAGAATTAAGTGTCTTTCTGTCTGTTGTTTGGTTGTAAGACGTATCATAACTCATGAGCTCCCAGACCGATTTTCCTCAAATTTTAGGTTGGGAACTCGTAGCTTGATTTTAAAAGTTTACATTGATTTGGTCGGTTTTTTTTTTATTAGAGAAAGATATAATTCCGCAAATCTGGGTTCCCAGGCTAGCCTATAACTCAGGAGGCTTGTCTGATTGGATATTGTTAAAACTATTGGGAATGCTCTTAGTTTGGCTTAACAATTTTAGATTAAGTGGGTTGACTTTTGAGAGAAGGTGAAGAAGGTATTGATCAGGAAAATGTTTAGATTTCCAGACAAAGCTGTTCTTCCACGCTATTTTATTATATAAATATATATTTTACCGCCATTTAACCAAGATTACCGAACCATGGATTCCCCAGCAGAGTGACATTAAGTAACTTGTAACACTACGTCCCTTTGAACAATTAAGTAAGATAAAGACTTGTTCTGCGAAGTTTTCAAAAAAAATCGCGCATTCTCATATCAAAAGAAAGTAAAACTATGTACAACTACTTTTTTGGAAAATTAAAATTTTTACTTAACCACGGGTTCCCGAGACCAATTTTGCTAATAAGCAAACTTGGTCTCGGGAACCCTTGGTAAAGTAAAATTCCTTTAACTTCCGCAAATCTGGGTTCCCAGGCTAGCCTATAACTCAGGAGGCTTGTCTGATTGGATATTGTTAAAACTATTGGGAATGCCCTTGGGACAATTAAGTAAGATAAGGACTTGCTCTGCGAATTTTTCAAAAAAAAAATCGCGCATTTTCATCTCAAAAGTGTACAACTACTTTTTCGGCAAATTAAAATTTTTACTTAACCACGAGTTCCCTCGACCAATATTACCAATAAGCAAACTTGGTCTCGAGAACCCTTGGTAAAGTAAAATTCCTTGTGAAGTAATTATTTAAGTAATAATTATATTCAGGATTGGTATACCTGGCCAGCGTGTTATATACCTTATATATTCCTAATAGTTATGACTTTACATCTAGTTCTTCTTTTCTATATACTCTTCAAACTTAGACAAAGGTAAACATTATCAAATCATACCGATTAATAGAGTTGTTAAAAATAGATAAAAATAGCTGCAGTGCCCGGCGTTGCCCGTTTAGCCAGCCATAGAGCTGACATAAACACTATACAGAGCGTCCCATATCATATTAGATTATCTCCAAGCTTTAACGCCAAAATAAGCATTCAATATTCGAAAAACAAACATAGCATTTCCTGCAAGAAAATTTGTTTAATTAGCCTGATTCAATTTTTCCAAATGATTTATTCTTCTTCAATTTTCTGATATGTCCCGGAAATTGTAATTGAGAACCATTAACGGTCTAATATGATGTGGGACACCTTGTATATATATGAGCGAAGAGCTTTATTATACATATAGATAAGCTTTTCTGTTTTTTATAAGAAGATATAAACTTTTCCTTGGAGCTAGATTTATACCTCCTCTTTTAACATCAATATTTAGAAATTACTTTTTAACAAATGTTTTCAGGTTGGGGGGCACTTTGAACTTCCGTTCACTTTAAGCACAGGGCCGACTTTAAACCAGCTAATGCCAGCTGTGCAATTCATCGATAAAAACACCTTAAGTGTGGGATGAAAATCATTTTTTAAGAGATGGGGAGATATTTTTTTCTTTAAAATTCAATCTTTTACTGTTTGTCGCATGTTTCAGGGTTCGGGTTAAATTGCTGCAAGATCTGAATGAGAATCCTAAATATGAAAAAATACAACAAGAAGTTGAACAGCATATGGATCATCATATGTCAAGGTTATCACATTTTAAACCTTGTAGGAATTGAGTTGTTGCCACAAACTCAAAATTTGTTGACCCCTAAATCTTTGAAACCTGATGGAGTTAAATCAAACTAAGATAATTATTATCTAACAGTAATCATAGTTTGAAATATCTAATGACATAGGTTTGCAAAGAAAAAGGAATTAAATAATTAGAGTTTGTGGCAAAAACTTAATTTCTAATATGACGTGGTACAGCATAGGTAGCTAAAGTACATGTGATACAGTATAGATAGCTATAGGACACGTGGTACTGTATAGATAGCTAAAGTACATGTGGTACAGTATAGGTAGCTATAGGACACGTGGTACAATATAGGTAGCTATAGGACATGTGGTAAAGTAAAGATAGCTAAAGTACACGTGGTACAATATAGGTAGCCATAGGACACGTGGTACAGTATAGATAGCCAAAGTACACGTGGTACAGTATAGGTAGCTATATGACACGTGGTACAGTATAGATAGCTAAAGTACACGTGGTACAATATAGGTAGCCATAGGACACGTGGTACAGTATAGATAGCTGAAGGACACGTTGTACAGTATAGATAGCTAAAGTACACGTGGTACAGCATAGGTAGCCATAGGACAGGTGGTACAGTATAGATAGCTAAAGGACACGTGGTACAGTATAGATAGCTATAGGACACGTGGTACAGCATAGGTAGCTATATGACACGTGGTACAGTATAGGCAGCTATAGGACACGTGGTACAGTATAGATAGCTAAAGTACATGTGGTACA